TACTACTTACTACTTGTAATACTATTCTTACATTGCGGTTTTTCACTTATTGTGGGGCTTCAGGATATGGATCCCCTGCGATAAACAAGGGACTACTGTATAAACTATTGTGCAAATGTTTTGAGCCTTCTCTAATTTTTGACCTTCTGTTTTCAAGCAGCCAGACTTTTTTTTGGGTCAAATTTTAACACGATCAATGGTTTTATTTGGATTTCAAACATTCTTTTAAAGTTCTTCTCTGAAATGTGGCTTCTTTTTCACTTATTTTTATTCCGTCCTTGGTCCTGTCCGTGACTGTATATTGTTACATAAATGGGACAAGAGGAGGAAGATGTGTTTTAAAATCTATTTACTGCAGATAAAAGTTATCCCAACGTCACATCTATAAAAATATTTAATATAATCTCTCAAAGATGCTTCATTATTTAGTCAAGCATTTACTAAATGTCATGATTTTACCTCGCAGTGTTTTGGAATCACCTTGTTGATGTTAAATTATATTTCATATGTCAAAATATTGTTCAAAAGTTCAACTATAGAAATTGGAATAAATTCTTTGTGACGTTAAATTTGTTTCTTTTGTTATGTATCTACTATGTGCCAACACAACACTGGTTCACCCCTTTAGTTTGGAAGCCATCTTAATGTCCAATTGATTTATGGGTCAAAGTAATGTAGTTTAACAAGCAAACACTAAACGTGAATCTAAAAGTGGTCATGCACTAGACTGGAACTGGGCAACAAAGCAGCAAAAGTTTATTAAAAAAAGGCTTTAAAAGCTTGAAAAACTAGTAATAAAGGCCATTTAAAAATGGGAAAAGCCTGCTTGTAAGAAAGTTATGAAAGAGTAAAAAGACTCACACACGTGGAGGAAAAATAAAATAATAAAACCTTTTCACTGCTTTTTAAGTACAAGTACCATAAATGTATCAGCTGTACATGTATTTTGTAGTTTAAGCTGACCTGGAAATACAAAATGTCCCCACATCAAGTCATTTATTCCTGAAATTTAACATTAACTAATAAACTAACCTGTGTAAATGAAGGATGAATGAATGAAAACATTAATATTTTGCAAAACAGCACACAAATCAGCCATTTTAGTGTTTTTTTAAATGATTTTCTTAGATAAAAGTTCAGCTATTTAATTATCACCAGATCCAGGAAATATGAACATTTCTGACTTTGTTTTGATTGTTAGGAAAATAACCAAAGACGTGGGGTATGAAGATGGAATATAAATCTTACAGGTTGTCAACACTGACCAGTATCAGGGTCCACAGAGAAGTACGGTTGTCCCTCCAGAATGCTGTACACCACCCTGGCGCTATTCCCGTACGTGGCATCGTCTGCGTCTGTGGCCGTCACCTGAATCACCGAGGTGCCTGTGGAGGGGCGGGTGTGGAAGGAGATTCATGACAAGGATTTAGATCAACTCCTCAATGCCGATGAAAAATTGCCCGCTGGATAATTGGTTAAGCTGATGCCCCTTCTGATGAGGTGTCCGATCCCCTTCTAATCACGCTCGTGCAGAATGTGACTGATCATTTCTGTCTCTTTGCGTTACCCGAAGCCATCTTTATCCCGCCACCACTTATACCTCCACACGTGATTGATTTCCACAGGTAATCGATAAGTTCTAATGTATTTTTCTAAGTATATCTCTCTTAGGCATGAACGCTGGCTCCCTGCAAAACCCCGAGAAGCCTATTAGTGTTCCCGCAGATCTCAAGTGTCTGAGAAGCCAAATATCTGATAGCAGGATTGTGATCCATTTTTCTCTTCCAGAAAACCCTGTTTCAGTGGAACAAAGGAAAACGGTTAGCCAAGTGCTACCTCCCAAATGGCGCCTCGCAGGGCCAAGTGTTGCCTCATTACATGCCGAGGAAAATTAATTGAGTAGAAATATTTAATAGCAAAAGTGGTATAAATATAGAAATACGCAATGCAACGGGATAACGACCTGATGAAACTTTGCTAATTTGATGTCAGCTCAGGTCTGTGCGGGGTGAAAAAATAGCTTCTCTTCTTTAAAATCAATGGATGAGGGATGAAGAGCAGACGGAGAAAGACCACGGCTGTCTGACTCGGTGTAAGTGACAGTTTGTTAAGAAAGTTCACCGAACCCTGATCGCTAATACCTTTAACAGGAGAATTAGACTCAAAGAGGCTTTTCTGACTCAGAAACTATCACTGATCCACATCAGCCATCTCATCGCAGACTTTAAGCTTTTCAGAAAAGCTGACAAACAAGTCGGGAGTAATCGCAGTATAGATATTTTTGTGAGGTTGGCGCGGGATAAATTACCTCGACTGTACTCATTTAGCTGTCAGAGTGGTCCCTGACCATACGAGCCACGTCAAACTGAAAGTGTGTGTCACATTTAAAGGAGCAGTGTCTCGGCTCAGTCACTCGTGAACACATGCTCTGCCAAGCGGTGACATCACACCTCGCCTGTTGCCATGGGCACCCATGCTGCCCTTAGATAAGTGCTGGCCCTCTTTCTCTCGGGGTTGTTGAACCGAGTGACAACTCTGTCACACGTCTGACCAGAAGCGCCGCGGCAGCAGCACAGCCGAGAGCTCATCTCATGTTTTCATGCAAGTATTGATTAGGAGCCTTTTTATGTTGTGTATCTATATTCATGAAGCCGATGTGCACTTTTAGACCAGGAGATGCAGCCAGAGTGCACGGAGGATTAAAGTTTAATTTGGTGCTGAATGGCAGAAACACACGACGACACTGAAACAGCAAATGGTGCAGTTTGAGAACTGCAGGGACAGAACCCACGATTATTCACTGCGATGACACGGCTGACAGTGCTGGTAATTAAATCAAACTGCGCTTTAATAAACTACAGGATTGTGTTTAAAAGATTATCTGCAGCAGCTCCTGTTTACCCTCATTCTAGTGTCTCGTTTAATTAGCCGAGCTGACAAGATTATGACGATTGATAAAATACCATTTCTTCTTCTTCGTTACTTTTCCCTCTTCAGGGGTCTCCACAGCGAGTCACCCTCCTCCATCTCACTCTGTCCTCTGCATCCTCTGTCCTCACTCCAACTTAGGGATTCGCGATCCACTTTTTCCACTTCCGATACGATACCTGATGTTTAGTTTCGATGGATACCAATCCGATACAGAAAGTGCTGAATTCCGTTCAACAAACTCCACGTGCTCTTTAGGGTGAAATCTCTGGAGATGCTTGATTAAGTTGGTGGTGTTATAACTGGAAGTTTTAGTGCCACACCCTGGAACCGTCGCTGTGCACGTATTGCACGTAGTTGTCGAATGTGTTGGCTGAGGTAGTGTGAAATAGTTCCAGATGGCCGCTCCATTTTGAAAACAATCTGTGCGGTGAGTTTGCGAGCACGTGACATCACTCAGAGCACAAAGCATAGAATTAGAGTGAATAGATCTGCCCAGTTACGGATCGGTCACATTGTCACTGATACCCGATCCAGAAGGTTTTTTTCGATAACGGGCCCGATACCGATATTGGTACCGGATTGGTGCATCTCTACTCCAACTACCTCCATGTCCTCTCTAACTCCATCCATATGTCTCCTCTTTGTCTTTTTCCTGGCAGCTGCATTTCTAACATCCTTCTACCAATATACCCACTGTCCCTCCTCTGGACATGTCCAAACCACTGTCCTTCCTCTGGACATGTCCAAACTACTGTCCCTCCTCTGGACATGTCCAAACCACTGTCCCTCCTCTGGACATGTCCAAAC